AAAATATTCTAGTCAGACCAAGAAGAAAAGTATCTGTTAGCTCTTAACTTTCATATTACTGCCCTAAGCCTCTCATTCCAAGAAACCAAAGCCCATCACTCTTATCGTTTAACCTTGCCCTAAGCCTCTCATTCCAGAAAACCAAAACCCATCATTCCAGTCAGTGGGAAGGAAATGACGAACCACCCTAACCCACCTTAAACTGCAAACGGTCACTCGACAAGAAAAACAAGTTTCAGGAGACCCCAGACCCCGACCAATCAAGAACTCGGGAGACCCCAGCCCTGACCAATCAAATATGACCACGTCTCCTCAGCTAACGATTAAATTTAAAAATCCTTAGTCTGTACAAGCCGGTTGCTATTTTCTCCTTAGAGGCAGCCCAGCAGGTCTTCTGCACTCTTCTGCTTACTCAGCACCACCTCGTTCTTACAGTATCTGATAGAAAAACCCAAAGATGGCATATCCAGGTAAGGACCTTATAGTTAATAAGTCCTTGAAGACACTGGCACAGCTAATGTGAAGAAATGGTTCCTTGTTAAGTGTAGCTGGGGGAGAAGTCCTGGTCTTTGGGTACAGCTAATGCCATTAATCAGCTCTGCATTACATCATTAACTATTAACCCATCATTCTCTCTTTATACTTCTAGAGGAAGTTGAATAAAGCTCTCAGACCATCAACTACATCCCTTCATTGCTTTTTTTGAGGGTCCTAAAGAATTTTAAAAGAAACTTAAAGACACGAAACTAGAAGATTGGTTACAAAGCATTGCAGTGTCCTGATTTAAAAGCATACTCTTGCCCTGGCGAGTTTGGCTCAACAGTTACAGCGTCAGCCCACAGTTCAGAGAGACCCGGGTTCAGTTCTCACTAGGGCACGTACCTCAGTTGCAGTTTGTCCCCGACCCCGGTGGGTCTCTCTGGTTTTCCAGTCAAGGGCACATACCTGATTTGCAGGTTTGATCCCCACTCCCAGTCAGGGTCCTGCTAGAGACAACCAATCCATGTGTCTCTCTCACACTGATGTCCCCCCCCCCTTCCCTTCCCCGACCCCGGTGGGGGTTGTGTTGGAGACAGCCACTCGATGTGTCCCTTTCATGTCAATGTTTCTCTCTCTCTCTCTCTCTCTTCCTCTCTCTTCCTCCCACTCTATCTGAACAAAAATGTAAAAATGTCCTCGATGAGGATAAAAAAATAAAATAAACAAATAAAAAGTGTACTCTGGCCCTGGCCAGTTTGGCTCAGCAGTTGGAGCATCAGCCCTTGAACCAAAGGGTTGTTGGTTTTCCAGTCAAGGGCACATACCTGATTTGCAGGTTTGATCCCCACTCCCAGTCAGGGTCCTGCTAGAGACAACCAATCCATGTGTCTCTCTCACACTGATGTTTCTCCCCGCCCCCCCTTCCCTTCCACATGCTCTAAAAAAACAATGGAAAACATCTTCAGGTGAGGATTAACCAAAAAATTAAAAACAGACTCTGGGTGTCGGCCTGTGGTCTGGAGAGACCCGGGTTCGGTTCCCGCTAAGGGCACGTACTTCGGTTGCAGTTTGTCCCCAGCCCTGGTTGGTCGTGCGGGTGGCAGCCACTCGATGTGTCCCTTCACGTCGATGTTTCTCTCTCTCTCTCCCTTCCTCTCTCTCCCTCCCACTCTATCTGTACAAAAAATGGAAAAATATCCTCGGGTGAGGATAAAAAACAAAAACAAAAAACAGACTCTGGGCCCTGGTCAGGTAGCTCAGTTGGTTACAGTATGTCCTGATATGCCAAAATTGTGGTTTCGATGCCTGATCAGGACAAAGAAGAACCAATCAGTGTCCTTGCTGGGTGGCTCAGATGGTTGGTGTGTCATACCATACAACAAAAGTTTGTGGGTTCCATTCCTGGTTAGGGCACATACCTAGGTAGTGGTTTCAATCCCTAGTGGAGGCGTGTGTGGGAGGCAACAAATAGATGTTTCTCTGCACATTGATATTTCTCTCACATCAATGTTCTCTCTCTCTCTCTCTCTCTTTTCGCTCTTGGTCAAATCAATAAAAAATATAAATAAATATCATTGGGTGAGGACTTTAATAAATAATAAAATATGGAAAATGGAAACATTCATAAATATGTGGACTTAAAACCCTTAAAAGCCAATGGGACAAGAAAAAAAAATCACAAGGATATTATAAAAGACTCTGAGATGGAAACACAGGTCCACAGCAGAAAGGGAAAGCTCTCAGGGCTATATTTCTTCCCATAAAAGATGGTTGATCCATCCTTCTTTCCTAAAATTTACTCAGCCTGGGAGGTGGGGCAGTTGTTGCCATGGCTCCTCTGGCTGCTTCTCCTCCTTCAACCTCAGACAGCCACCACTTCTTGGTCCTGGCTGTCCTGGGACTGGCTCTGCTTCACTTCATCTCCTGCTTCAGCTGGAGCCCAGTTTCCCTCGTTGATCCAGATCTAATTGCAATGTGGTTATAATAGCATAAGCATAGAAGTCCAGGAAAACCCACCTCCACTATCACGACTTCTTTTCCTTGAAACTTCTGAACTGATAATTTACTCTGAGTGATCTCTCTCTATCTCTCACATTCTCTCTCTCTGCTGCTCCTTCTATCCTCCCTCCTTCCTTCCCCTTCTCTTTTTTTGAAATTAATTTGTTGGTGGGTAGCAGAATTAAAATCAACTTATGGAATCTTCAAGGTATAAATGGCCTCTGGCAGAATTAAATTATTCTCTATATGAATATCTAGTTGTTTGTATACCAGTTACCGAAATTTTTCCTCATTCCCGACTAGTTGGTAGTATTATGTTTAAAGAACATCAGTAATCTATATACTGTTAGAGGTCTAATTTGGCTCTTAATTCCCTTTGGTCTATTTTTCAACACTTTTATCAATTCCACACTGCCTTAGTTACCATAGCTTCGCAATGAGTCTTGATATTCGATGGAGAACGACTTCTCATCTTGTTCTCTTTTAGGATACCTTGGCAGCTTCCAGGAGATGTAAACAGAACCACCCATAAAATATTATTTCTAAAGTAAAATGAATAAACTGCACCTGTAATCCAAACATTTGGTTTACAGAAAATATGAAGAAATATTTGCAACAACATGAATGAAACTGGAGGGCATTATGTTAAGTATAATAATCCCAACAGAGGAAGACAAATTCTGCATGGTAGAACTACATGTGGACTCTAAGTGAAATAATAAAAGTCAAACTCATGGAAACAGAATAGAATGGTGGTGGTTGCTTGGGGGCTGGGTGGTAGGAAATGAGAGGTTGGTTAAGGATACAAACCTTAAATTATAAGATGATTAAAGTCTGAAGATTTAATATATAGTATGGTGACTATAATTGAAATTTGTTGAGAGAGTACAGTCTTTTTTTTTTTTAATTCTCATCCAAAGACATTCTTGCATTTATCTTCAGATAGAACGAGAGGGAGAGAGGAAGGGAGAGAGAGAGAAACATCAATGTGAGAGAGATACATTGACTGGTCTCCACCCACACAATCCCAACCACGGCAGGGACAAACTGCAACCGAGGTAGGTAGGTGCCCTTAGCGGGAACCAAACCTGGGTCTCTCTGGTTCGTGGGCTGACGCTCTAACCATTAAGCCAAACCTGCCAGGGCAAGAGAGTAGATCTTTTTTTAATCCTCACTGGATTAAAAAGTGGGAGGGAGTGGGAGGGAGAGAGAGAGAGAGAAACATGGATGTGAAAGAGACACATCCAGTGGTTGCCGCCCTCACGACCCAACCAGGCCCGGGGACAAACTGCAACTGAGGTACGTGCCCTTAGCGGGAACTGAACCCGGGTCTCTCTGGACTGCAGGCCAATGCTCTAACCGCTGAGCCAAACTGGCCAGGGGAAGAGAGCAGATCTTAAAGGTTCTCACCATAAAAAAATTTAGCAACATGAGGAGATGGATATGTTAATTAATTATATTGTGACAATCCTTCCACAATATACTCACTATACACATTTCAATTCATCACATATACTTTAAATATATTATAATTTTATTTGACAATCATACCTCAATAGAGCTGAAAAAAAAAGTTGAATTTTTTACAGTTATTTGAGCAGGATCGCTATTTCCACACATAGTTTTTGAATAATCATGGTTCATTTCAACCACCTTGTAGAAAAATAAAACATTCTTTGAGATATTTGAAGGTGAGTTTAAAAAAATTTTTTTTGTTTGTAATCCTCACTCAAGGATATTTTTCCATTGATTTATAGATAGAGTCGTGGGGAAGAAGAAAGGGAGAGAGAGAAAGAGGCAGAAACATCAATGTCAGAGAGATATATAAATTGGTTGGCTCCAATATTTATCCAGGGCCAGGGATGGAACCTGGAACCAAGGTAAGAACCCTTGGTTGGAAATCAAACCCTTGGCTCTTAGGTCTGTGGGCCCACACTCTAACCGCTCAGCCAAACCATCCAAGGTAAATATATATATATATATATATATATTCAACATACATGCCTTTACTTGTTTGACATTTCATCTTTTTTCACTTGCCAGAAAATTAATATCAAAATGAGCACTTACAACTCACCAAAAATGCAAAACTTTTGGTATTTCTTTTGTGGGTTGATGAGAAGTTACGTGTGTGTGTGGGTGTGTGTGTTTTCAGCATTTCAGAATGAACAGCTCACGCAAAATAAACTGTCAGAGATTTAGATGAATCCAGCCGCAGGTAAACTAAAGAAAGCCACATCAAAAAGACTGAGATCATTTTTTGGTCTTTCTGCCCTATACAGCTACATTTATTCTCGGTCAAACTTATTAGTACTCTGATTTATAAAATTTAAAAAAATAAGGAAAGGAAGATAAACAGAATACAAAGAGGTCAATGGCCAAAAGGGAACTGAACGAACCGAACCACTTTATTTTTTTAATTTAACCTGGCAACCTACCTTAGCATAACCTTGTGGAGGATTCTGGGAAATGTAGTCCAGAGACGCCATGTGGTCAGAGCCACTTCCGCTCTGGGAGGGAGGAGCTCCAGCCCTTGTTTCCCTAGCGGACTCTGGAGAGCCACGCACGGGAATCATCCATACCTGGCAGGAGGTGAGTGAGTGACTGCGCAGAAATCTTTGTCTGTTCCTGCTTTGCCTGGTGTCGGACCCGCAGGTGCCATCCTCGCTCGGGGAATAGAAGCGCGGAGGGCAGGTTTGTGCCTGGTTCCCGCGTGGAAAAGGGAGCGATCCGGGGTGGCGATTTTAGGTTTGCGGGTCTCTGGGCCGGGTTCCCTCGCCTTCCCTACTTCCGCTAGCTTGCCGCCTTGTAGTGATAAGATCTTTGGAGAGTTATTTCTCTATTTTTCCTGTCCAGAGTGGGGTTAATAATTAGTGTCACCGGACGGGGACCGAGTTAACAGTAGTGTCACCAGAGGGCCCATTCACCCTTCAGCCAGCCAGTTGTGTGCGGGTTCTTGGCTTGGTGCAGGTAAGGTTTCACAGCAGAGTGCAGATGATTTTAAGAGTGTACTTATGTGTGCTGGGAACTGTAAACGTATAGGAGAAAGGAAACAAAAAGTTCAGGCCTGAGGTAAGAGCCTCAGATGGCTTACTTTGCGGGTTTTTATCTGCTTTCCAAAGGCGCTATTTTTAGGGGAAGATCTCAATAGAATATTCATCAGCTCTTCCAGATATGCCCTTCCAGAGTCTCTTGGTCTCCACTGTCTGGTCAGTGCCAGGGCGCGGGTTCTTAGTCCTTGCAGCTGGCTGGCCTGCTTGGCCTGGTTTTGCAGCTTTTCTGGGCATGGAGCTGAAATATCACTGAGGCCTAAATATTATCTCTAGGGAGGAAAGATGGGAGTGTGTGTACACTTGTGATCAGCGATATGAAAGGTTGAACGTTTGCCGTGGGGGCCCTTCCCACATGAGTTTTCCAAGGCTTCCTGCCTGGGTGACTTTCTGTATCTGGCATAAATTGCACCACCATTTTTGCAAAATGAAAGAAAACTTCAAATATATAGAGAATCTTTGTTAGTTTATTTGAACAGCTGTTGACAATTGCCCAGAAGCAAAATCTCAATGGATTGAGATAATGCTCCAGAGAATGGCAGTGTTCTACCTTATTTTTTACATTACAATGAAGGGGAGCTATAAATTCTTTTTTTTTTTTTTTTAATTTTTGGTACGTGCCCTTAGCGGGAACCGAACCTGGGACTCTCTGGTCCGCAGGCTGATCTCCAACCGCTGAGCCACACTGGCCAGGGCAGAGGAGCTATAAATTCTTTACATGAAATCCATTGATGATAGATTAGGGAGGTGAGAGAAAGCACAGCAGGTAAACCTCTGGGATTGGATGAAAAGCAAAATGATAGATATAGATCATCTACTTAGGTGGGTGGGTACTAGAGAGTTAATAGTCAACAATTAAGACTATAAAAATAACATTGAGGATTTATAGTCTCTGCTCTGGTCATTGGTTGTTCCCTGAGGGGTCCAGAAAAAGGAAAGTTACCCTGGTACTCCAAAGTTAAGTTATCTTACATGCAAAAGACAATAGACAGGCAGTGCAGGCCCCACTTGCTTTCTCTTACTAAATACTGTGAAATGCCAGATCTTGCAAAACTCCATTACTGGGTAGAGCAGGCGAGTGCAGCAAATAATCGGCCAGAGTGAGGGAATTGGACATTATGAACGGGCATTTCTTCCGGGTTTTGAGAAGTGGATGCATTACTCTCATTCCTACTAGAGTACTTCTGCCTGGAGTAGGATTACATGGGAACATAAGTAGCTCTCAGATACTGCATGCTTATTTTAATATATTTGTTCAAACCTCCTGACAATGCCGTGAGCTAGTTAATGGTATTATCCCTATTTTTATAGATATGGAAATAGGCACAAAGAGATAGTGGGTTAGAAGAATCAATAGTGGAAACCTGGGCAGAGCGAGGAGTTTGTTGGTGCTCAGGTCTAACAATAGACACCCAGGAGAATGTCCAGTCCCCAGAGCAGCAGCCAATGATATAGATCTGTGGAGAACATCACACAGAAAGTGAAATAAAATCCAGGGATCCAATCAGATGCAGAGTACGTGGACACAGAATAACGTGCAAGAAAAGGACTAAAAGATTGGTGGTTTTTGACACTCGATAAAACATAGAATTCAGAAAAATATCTTCGCATTTGGATTTGCTGTTAATGTAGCTTTTGATTAGTGTATTTATTTTTATGAATTCAACTGTATACACACAATTTCATTTTATTTATTTATTTTTAATCCTCACCCAAGGATATTTTTGCATTTATCTTCAGATAGAGTGGGAGGGAGAGAGGGGGTAAGAGAGAGAGAGAAACATCGATGTGAGAAAGACATATCGATTGCTTGCCACCCACACAACCCCAGCCTGGCCTGGGAACAAACTGCAACCGAGGTACGTGCCCTTAGTGGGAATTGAACCGAGGATTCTCTGGTCCGCGGGCCAAAGCGGGCCTGAGCCAAATCAGCCAGGGCCACACAATTTCATTTTGAAAACTGTATTCTATTTCGGTATCTATTAGTCATTTACCACGGTTCAGTTTTCTTGTTTGTGTGATAGGCATGAAATTATAGCACCTATCTCAAAGGTTTGTTGCAAAATAAAATAATCTATAAAAACTCAAAAAAAAAAAATAGTGGAGACCTGATGTTATGCCCCACCCAGACCTTTGGCCTCAGAGTTTACTCTCATGGTCATGGCCAGTACATTCCACTGCCTTTCATTTTCCACAAGGCTGAGAATGTTAACTCTGGGACCTTCAAGGGACTCTGTGTTGGCCTTACTGCTTAGAGTTGGGGGGTTGTTGACTGCCCAAGGGCCCCTCCCTGGCTGAGAGGTTAGTGATATGGGTCAAAGGGAGGGCTCAGTTTTCAAAATTCACACAGAGTAGCCGTATGTTTCAGGGCCTGTGTCTTATGGCTTCTCTCTCCTCTGCCACATCTGCCTTCCCAGGACTCTGCGCTTCCCCAGAAGGACCAGGAGAAAATGACCAAGTGCCAGGTGAGTTGAGTTTTGATTTTTATCTCATAATCTATCTCAGATTATACACATAATTTTTTTCTTCTTTGAAAAGGAGAAGGACAAGTATTTGTTATGTGCCAGTTACTAGTTTTTATATTGGTTTTATTTGTATTTCTTTTAAATCCTCACCCAAGGATAATTTCCAATTGATTTTCAGATAGAGTGGGAGGGAGAGAGGGAACGAGAAAGAGAGAGAGGGAAAGAAACATCCATGTGATAGAGACACATCGATTAGTTGCCTTCTGTAAATGCTGAAAGAAATAACTTTTAACTCAGAATTTTTTGTCCAGTAAGAATAGTTTTTGGGGATAAAGGGAATATTCAAGACAATTTTTTTTCCTTTATTGGTTTGAGAGAGAGAGGAAGGGAGAGGGAGAGAGACAGAGAGAAACTCCGATAAGAGAAAACATCGATTGGTCGCCTTCTGCATGCCCCCCACTGATGCAAATGGTCTAAATTACTAATTAAAATATAGGAATTGGTGTCTGGCCAGTGTGGCTCAGTGGTTGAGCGTCGACCCATGCACCAAGAAGTCTCCTGTTCAATTCTCGGTCAGGACACATGCCCAGGTTGTGGACCCAATCCCCAGTGTGAGGCATGCTGGAGGCAGCCAGTCGATGTTCTTTCATCAGTGTTTCTATCTCTCTCCCTCTCGCTTCCTCTCAAGTCAATAAAGGGAAAAAAAATATATATATATATATATATCTATCTATATATATATAGATTGGTATTGTGGATGCCCGGCTACTGTGGCTCAGTGGATTGAACACTGTCCTATGCACCAAGAGGTCACCAGCTGGATTCCGGTTCAGGCCCCTGCCTGTGTTGTGGGATCCCCAGTAGGTGTCATGCAGGAGGCAACCAATCGGTGTTTCTCTCTCAATATTTCTATCTCTCTCACTCTCCCTTCCACTCTATCAAAAGTCAATGAAAACAAAACATTTAAAAGAAATATGCTATGAAAAACTCACTTCAAATAAAATAACCCAGGCAGGTGAAACTAAAAGAATGGAAATAGCTGTACCATGCAAACATTAAAAGACTGCAGTGGGCCCTGGCTCAGTGGTTAGAGCGTTGGCCTACAGACCAATGAATCACGGGTTCATTCTGGTCAAGGGCATGTAACTCGGCTGTGGTTCATCCTGCCCCTGGTCAGGGTCATGCAGGAGGCAACCAGTCGATGTGTCTTTCACATAGATGTTCCTCCCTCCCTTCCTTCCTCCCTCCCTCCCTCCTGCTATATCTGAACAAAAAATGGAAAAATGTCCTCGGGTGAGGATTTTTTAAAAAAGACAGCGGAGTTGAATAAATGAAAATGTAATCATCCCCTTACCATACCAATGATAAGTATAGTAATAAAAGCTAACATTCATTGAGGACCTACTATGTGCTAGGTATATAGTGTCTAAGAAAGCACTGCCCAGTAGAACTTCAACGATGGAAATGTTCCATGTTGTGCTGTCTGACAGGGTAGCCACAGGCGACGTGTCTCTTGAGCATTTGAAATGTGTTAGTGCGCCCTGGCCAGTTTCGCTCAGCAGTTGAAGCGTCAGCCTGCAGTCCAGAGAGACCCGGGTTCGGTTCCCACTAAGAGCACATGCCTCGGTTGCAATTTGTCCCCGGCCGTGGTTGGTCGTGCGGGTGGCAGCCACTCAATGTGTCCCTTTCACATCGACGTTTCTCTCTCTCTCTCTCTCTCTTCCTCTCTCTCCCTCCCATTCTATCTGAACAAAAAAATGGAAAAATGTTCTCGGGTGAGGATTAAAAAATGAAAGAAAGAAATGTGTTAGTGCAACTGTGGGAGAGATTTTTTTTTTAATTTATTTATTTTTTCTTTTTAAACTTATCTTTATTGTTGAATGTATTACAGATGTCCCTCTTTTTTTCCCCCCTTAACCCCCTCTTCCCCAATCCCACCCTCCACCTGCCTTCTCACAGTATTGTCTGTGTATATTGGTTATGCACATATGCATATAAGTTCTTTGGTTGTTCTTTTTCTGCCCCACCTTCCCCCTTCCCTTTGAGGTTCCTCATTCTAACAACCAATTTGTACTTCTTAATCCTTTCATCATTTTCACCCTTCCTCCCAACCTTCTCTCATCTGGCAACCAACAAAAAGTTCTCTGTATCTATGAGTCTGTTTGAGAAATTTTAATTTTAGATAATTATCACTTTAAATTTAAATTTGTATAGCCACATGTGAACTTTAGTATACTTATAGTAGCACATATATCTTCATTCATTTGTACATATAAGAATATTCTGATGTGGGCATCATTACACAGATGAGGAAATAGATTAAGGGATCTGTTGGTCTAAAATCATGAAACTTGGGAGGGGCATAGCTTTGGGATTTAAACTGAGGCATGAATACGGTCAGACACATTGAATGCTGTCATAAACAGTGTCACAGATAGCACGAGAGCACAGAGGACCAATTTTACTTTATTTAGTTTCTTTTTTATCCTCACCCGAGGACCAATTTTATAGCTCCTCAGATGTGTGACCAGTTGGTGTGTCAAATTGTAACAAAGTGAAAGTACCCAGGTTTAGTGAATGTGTGAGTGAGAAAACAAAAATAAAAGCTATCAGACCCTGTTGGAAGTAAATTGACCTAACCTTCTTGGAACAATTTGGTGGTATTAGTCAACTTATGTAATGTATATCTGCCGCCATTCAAGAGTTACAATTCCAGGGCGCTTACTGTAGGAATACTAAAAAAGGACACCAAGTGAAATAAGCAGGGATTATTATTTAATTGCACATACTTTTGATGGGAATGTGGAAAATTAGGGTGTGAAATTGACATGCTGAATTGAGAAGGGGAGGAAACTACATAAAGGGGTCTCAAGGCCCTCAGAATCCGGAACTTCCCACCCATCCTCTCTGCCACTCAGTGCTGCCCGTCTCCCAGTGGCCATTGGTCATAAGATTGAGGTTGCATGTGTTTGGTGTTGTAGGAGATGGTGACCTTCAAGGATGTGGCTGTGGTCTTCACCGAGGAGGAGCTGGGGCTGCTGGACCTGTCCCAGAGGAAGCTGTACCGAGACGTGATGCTGGAGAACTTGCACAACCTGGTCTCAGTGGGTGAGGACAGGGGCCCTCTGTAACTGAATGTCAGCTCCTGGGAGTATTTTGACTTCACATGTTTAAGACTTTTGGACTCTTATGTGTACTTGAAGCTGGGGATCTGAATTTCCTATGTTCTGTGGGATAGCTTTTCTGTACCTTTCCTACTTTTTGCAAATTGCAGTTGGGACATCTTGGTGGGGTTTTAAATCAGTTGGTGAGTTACATCTTTATTGTATTGAAGGAAACAATAAAGATAGCATAACTCATTGTTGGAACCGCATACAGTGTAACCAAAATTGGGAGTAAATCAGGAAAGGGTGATCATTTTATTACCTGTTTATTTATTACAACTGGTCCAATTCAGAATTTGGAGAAATATATGCATGAGTGCATGAGGATTGTAGTATTGGAATAAAAATTTTGGTCTTTAACTTATCTACCTTGTACATAAGCCATTTCTTTTTCACAATGTGTTAACCCTTCAAATTGGATTGGATTACACTTGGGGAGGGAAGAGTAAGTTCAGATGGTAAAGACAGAAACTTAAGGAGGTGGGTGTTCACGTGAGAACCAGGCAGCTCTGAGTCCTTCCGGGGCACAAGCCAGGTGCTGACCTTCTCACTACCCAAGGGGGGCCTCCCTGGCCCAAGCCTCTGTCATTCATTACTCAGCTTACTTACAGGTCTCTCACTGTCTCCCTGCTTCTGCGTTGGCTTCTTATAGTCTGTTCTCCAACAGCAGCCAGATCATCTCAGTCAGATCAGGTCACTTCTCGTTTACCCTTCCCTGACTTCCCATCTCACTCATACAATCCAAAATCCTCCCTGTGTCCTTAGAGTCCAGCCTGGTGTGATTTCCTTTTCATAGCCTTCTAGCCATACAAGGCTACTTTCTGGGTTTCAAACTTGTGGACTGTACCTCTACCTCGTGGTCTTTCTCTTGCTCCTCTATATTCTGGCTGGGACATTCTCCCCATTACATTCTCTTGGTCCTTACTCATTGTGTCTGCTCAGATGTTATCTTGTTATGGCAGAAATTTGTTCAGCAGAAGAGACAGACTGCAGTGCACTCAGAGGATTAGAAAAGGACTGTTTAATGAGCACAGGTGCTGTCTCAGGGGAGTCACCTGCAAAGGCTGAGCCCCGCACCCAGGTTCCTGCTGCCTTTTATACATGATAAGCCTTTGAGGCATTTGGGGGCCTCCTAGTTCCACTGTAGTTTAGGCAGTTGGAGGATGTACTGGGAATTACAAAAGCCAAGGGCGGGGTCACTACATTGCCAAAGGGGCTGCACCTGGCTTGCCTTCTCACAAAAGCCAGGGGCATGGGTGGGGTGGGGTCTTTGCACTGAGAGATAAGGGGATCATCTGTGTCCCCCAGGGACTGGGACAGGAGAGGGGAGGGAGGAGTCTTTACACAGTGAGATAAAGGAATGGTTTTTATTAGCCTTGCCTTCTTAATATCATCCCAGAAGCCAGCTCTGACCACTCTGCTTAAAATCTTTAGCCCCCTACCCTGCCTTACTTTGTGACTGATCATTATTTACAGAATATATTTTAACAGATATATTAACTGATATATTAACAGAATATATTTTGTTTAGGTCGGCCCTCATTTATCGCGGTTAATCAGTTCCAGACTCTACCGTGATAAATGAATTTCTGCGGAGTAGGATTCTTTACTTATACACAGTCATCCCTCGCCACTTTGCGGTTCGACTCTCATGGCTTCACTCTATCGCAGTTTTTCAAATATAGTAATAAAGTATTTAAAAAATTACCATAGAGCCCTGGCCAGTTTGGCTTAGCGGTTAGAGCATCGGCCCGCGGACCGGAGAGTCCCAGGTTTGGTTCCCACTAAGGGCATGTACCTCGGTTGCAATTTGTCCCGGCCCCTTGGGGTCGTGTGGGTGGTGACCACTTGATGCGTTTCTCTCACATTGATGTTACTCTCTCTTTTTCCCTCATGCTCTAATGCAAAAATGTCCTCAGGTGAGGATAAAAAAAAAGAAAAACCATGACAGCGTGAAGCTGTGAAAGTCCAAGCGCGAAGTAGCGAGGGACGACTGTACTTGTATACAGCTTTCCCCTGCTCTTCAGACTGTAATGTCAAGATAGCAGGGATTGTATCTGTTTTAGTTTTTTTTTTCTTTATTGATTTTTAGTGAGAGAGGAAGAAAGAGGGAGAGATAGAAACATCGATGAGAGAGAACATCGATTGGCCTCCTCCTGCATGCCTCCACTGGGGATCAGGCCCACAACCTGGGCATGTGCCCTGACCAGGAATTGAACCGGTGACCTCTCGGTGCATGGGTTGACACTCAGCCACATCTGCTGGGTTGTATCTGTTTTCTTTGTTGCTGTGTACCAGGTGCTTCTAACAGATGTAACACAGGATATGTTCATTAAATATTTCTTTGATGAAGGAGTAAGTGGATGAAAGAATAGACTAAAGGATGATTGGGTAGGTGGTCCCATTTGAATGGTAGTAAAATGGCTCCCTCACAGCTTCTCATGAACTGTTCTTTCTGCATTGCCATTATGGGAACTGCCCCATCCGTTTACCTAGTGACATCCTTCCTGCCTACCTTTGTTTCTCCTCCCTTCCATTCCTTCATTTCTCCCTTTTCTTCACTCCCTTTTTCTTTCATTTACCTTTACTATGTATATTGCTCAGATCAATCCAGCCTAAAATACAGTAACTACGGTCACCCCTATTATATTCTGTATATATTATAGAAAATAAAAAAATTAAATCAGACAAACATAAAAACTAAGAATAAGAAAATCTACCTGCTATTCTGGCAGATGAGATCCTGCCTGTTGTGCATAGTGGAAGAAATTTTTCTATGGCTTTTTATCCTTTCTTTTTCTGTCTTTATGATGTGTGAATTTTTTGTACAATCAGGAAGGTGGGATGCTGGCTCCATTTGACTCAGTTCCTTATTTTTCTGTATGTACCTGACTTGAAAATTACCATCTCAATTACACTGTTTTTGTTTTTGTTACCAGGTAGCTTTAAAAATACTTTGCCTTTTTAATTTTTATTCATTTATTCATTGATTTAATATTTTTTCCTTATTGATTTTTTTTTTTTTTTTTTTATCGATGAGAGAGAATGTCGCCTGGCCGCCCCTTGCATGCCCCCTAATAGGGATCTGGCCTAAAACCTGGTCATTTGCCCTGACTGGGAATTGAACTGGTGACATCTTGGTGTATGGGTCAAGGCTCAACCAGTGAGCAACAACAGCTCGGCTGCTTTGCCTTTTTTTTTTTAGCCTCACCCGAGGACATTTTTCCATTTTTTGTTCAGATAGAGGGGAAGGAAACATCGACGTGGAAGGGACACACCGAGTGACTGTCTCCCGCACAACACAACCAAGGCCAGGGACAAACTACAAACAAGGTACGTGCCCTTAGCGGGAACCGAACATGGGTCTCTCTGGACCACGGGCCGACGCTCTAACAGCTGAGCCACACCGGCCAGGGCTGCTTTGCCTTTTTTTAAAAAATTGCTTTAATTTTGTTAAACACAGGAAATTCCTTTTTTAATTCATTTATTGATTGAAAGAGAGGAAGTGTGGGGGAGGGTGAAAGAGAGAGAAACACGAATTTGTTGTTTTATTTCAGTATTTAATGGTTGATTCTATGTGCCCTGACCAGAATTCAAACCCACAACTGTTGCGTATTGCACAATACTCTAACCAACTGAGCTCCCCAGCCAAGGATGCTTTGCCTACTTGAAAAAAATCTTTACTTTTATTTTTCAATTCTGGGCCAACATTTTATTAAAATATGTACGTAAAAATGCATAGGCCCTGGCCGGTTTTGCTCATTGGTTAGAGCGTCGGCCCGCGGTCCTTAGAGACCCAGGTTCGGTTTCCGCAAAGGGCACATACCTCGGTTGTAGTTTGTCCCTGGCCCTGGTTGGGTCGTGCGGGTGGCAGCCACTTGATGTGTCCCTTTCATGTCGATTTTTCTCTCTCTCTCCTTCCCACTCTATCTGAACAATAAATGGAAAAATGTCCTCGGGTGAGGCTAAAAAAAAATGCATAGATTATAAATGAACAACTCCATGAATTTTCAGGAAGTGACATTACTCCATATTTGTTTAGGTTCTTTTTATTGTGGTCACATTTACATACATACATTTTAAGCATGCAATTTGAGTAGTTTTGACAAATGGATGCATCTCTGTAATTTGTGCCCTTCAGAGCGCAAAACAAATCTTACAGTATATTCTATCCACCTCTACCTTATAAAAAGTCGTTTTTGGCAGCATTTGTATATCCCTTGATTTTGCATTGAATGTGTCCATTTAGTTGCCCTGTTGCATCTATGAGGACTATTTTTGCCCTGGCCAGTTTGGCTCAGTGGTTAGAGCGTCGGCTTGTGGACCAGAGAGTTCCAGGTTCGGTTCCCGCTAGGGGCACGCACCTTGGTTGCAGTTTGTCCCCGGCCCCGTTGGGGTCATGTGGGTAGCAGCCAGTCAATGTGTCTCTCTCACATTGATGTTTCTCTCTCGTCCTCCTGCTCCATTTTAGATAAATGCAAAAATGTCCTCCTGTGAGGATAAAAAAAAGAATATTCTTGAGGCTCATTTTCACTGAGAAGATGCACAAACTAAAGAGTTTCTTCTCCCTTGAGAATTCTTATAAACAAATGTTCACAGAGAATGGTGCTAGGTGGATCTCACTGTCTTCACTCCTGGAGACAGCTCACAAGTGGAGGAAAAATCAGTGTGACTAAACAATTATGTCAGAACATAGTTACTCTTCTGATGAATATCTAACCTAATTATAATATTTATGGTACTTGTATTAGCTGTTTATATCTTTATAGCATACTATTCTTAAAGTTAGGTGCTTACAAAAACAGCATTTATTTATATTTTTGTGAGTCACGAATCTGAAGGCAGCTTAGCTGAGTGATGTCAAGGAGTCTAGCAGAGCTTCAGGCCTTTGAAGGCTAATGGGACTGAATGATTGGCTTCCAGGATGGACTCATTGACATGGTCTTTGTCTGAAGACCTCGATTCCTTGCCTGTGATTGTGTTCCTTAGATTGCCTCAGTGTCCTCCAAACCTGGCAACTAGTTCTCCTTTGCTGGTTATACCCAAGAGAGTGGAAGGCAGAAACTATAATTTCTTGTGTGACCTAACCATAGAAGTGATGTAGTTTCACTTCTGCTATATTCTGTTGGCTTCATAGACCAAATCTGACATGTTGTGAGAAGGGATTTGATAGGATATGGGCAGTAGGAGGCATGATCATTGGGGTCCATCCTGTTTTTATAAATACATATATACAAAACTGGGACACTAACACTAACCACTCACATTCATCAGAAAATTCAGCCCAATTATGTGGCAACAATTATCGGATTTTTACTCCCATAAGTTGTATCAGTTATGGGAATGAGTTTTCTATTTTTTTTTTCAGTTATAATGTTCACCTATTGAATATTATATAATTCTTTTCACTTTTGCTGGGAATGTCTTCTTCTCTAGCCATGTAACTCTCATTTTGACCTTATTAGGTAAGTTTTGTTATACCGATAAGAGTCTCTTTAACATTTAGTAAATAGGAGCCTAATCATGAACACTTTATTTCCGTAGGCTGAAAAAAGACAAAGAGAAAGTCAAGCTGATTAAATATGATCTCCCTATATGGTTGATCTGTGATATATTTTTATCTCTGAACAGACATTCATTTGTACTCACCTTCATCTCTGAATTCTCCTTATCATTCCAGGACATTGGAATCAAAATGAGATAGAGACTCTTCAAATAGTAGGATTAAGTTCCCTTTTTCATGAAGACCTCGTGTGTTGGCAAATATGGGGACAACTCACAAGTAAGTTAATCAGAAATCAAGAATTGATAATAAATCTGCAAGGCAAGAAGTCTGATTTGCCAAAACAAGTTGATTCCTCCTGTCAGTTGTGGGCAGGAGAATCTACTCAGGTTTCTGAAGATGAGAACCATGTAATAAAGCTTCAAGGGGAAGTTCAGAGTTTCAATAGTATAAAAAATCAAGAATTTCCTATAAAGACCACTGTTGATTTCTGGAAGAAAATGTATCCAGGAGAGTCACAGAATTATCAAAGTAGGTATCAGCAGATTGACAAAAGATATGAACTGAGAAGGAGCTCTCATGACCATGATGTTGATCTGGAAGTACCCAAAGGTGAGAAGTCTTATAGTCACAAGAATTGTGGAAATGACTTCATGAAGAAATCATTGCAGCATAGTGTAATCCACTCAGGAGAGCAAACCTCTGATGAGAATGGGAAAGGCTTCAGCGTTGGCCGTAATGTTGAACATCATCAGCAGTTGCACCTAGGAGCAAAAGCCCATGTGTGTAGTGAGTTTGGGGAGGAATTTAGTCAAATCTCACCTCTCCAAATTCATCAGAGAGTCAACACAGGAGAGAAACCCTACAAATGTGAAGAGTGTGGGAAATGCTTCAGGTGGAGCTCATGTCTTCATGTTCATCAGAGGATCCATACAGGAGAGAATCCATATAAATGTGGTGTGTGTGGTAAGAGCTTTAAACATAACTCACAGCTTAAAGTTCATCGCCGAATCCACCCACGTGAGATACTCTACAATTGTGCTGTGTGTGGTAAGAACTTCAGTGGAAGTTCAAAACTTCAAGCTCATCAGCGTGTCCACACAGGAGAAAAACCATATAAATGTGATGTATGTGGAAAGAGCTTCAGGCAGTGTTCTTCTCTTCAAAACCATGAGCGAATACACACTGGAGAGAAACCCTACAAATGTACTGTGTGTGATAAGAGCTTCAGTCGGAGTTCAAACTTTGGAGCCCATTGGCGTGTGCACACAGGAGAGAAACCCCACAAATGTGCTGTGTGTGGTAAGAGCTTCATTTCTTCCTCGACTCTTCACAACCATCATCGAATCCACACTGGAGAGAAACCCTACAAATGTGAACAGTGTGGGAAATGCTTCTCATGTAATTCTTCCCTTAGGGTACATCGGAAAATTCACACAGGAGAGAAGCCCTATGAATGTGGTTTCTGTGGTAAGAGGTTCATTCAAACTAAAGGCCTTCGTGCTCATCAGCAAGTTCACACTCGCAAGTAACCCTACAAATGTGAAGAGTGTGGGAAAGTCTTCATGAGGATCTTGTGTCTTCATGTTCATAAGAAGATCCATACAGGAGACAAACCCTATAAATGTGGTATGTTTAGTAAGCGCTTCAGCCATACCTCCATTATAAGAAATAAGAAACCAAGTCAAGTCAGCAGAGACAAAAAAGATTTCTCAGTGTGCCTAATTGAAATGAATAAAAGTGGGTCAGGATGTCCACCTGGTTAAAAATGATTCTGTATTACTTCTTTTGTGATTCTCTCACCTCTGCCCTCTGGTTGAGTTGGTTCCCACCCACTAATAGGATATTTGCTTAAGGAATTAGTGTTCTGTTAACCTAGAGCATAGCTTTATCTAAATACTTCTCAAGCAGTTTTTACTGACTTTCCTTTGTCAATCTCAGTCATTTGCAGACTTGGCATTTTCAAGTATACTGTATCCAAACACAAATTTTCATAGAGTTACTGTGAGTTATGATTTGTTAGTTTAATCATGTATCAGCATTTTGGAGGTTCTTATAAAAAAACTGTTTTTCAAAATAAAATTAGTTTTTAAAAATATAGTGTCTGAGCCTGGCTTGTGTGATTCAGTGGTTCAGCATTGACGCATGCACCAGGAGGTCACCAGTTCGATTCCCAGTCAGGGCACATGCCCAGGTTGTGGGCCAATCCCCAGTGGGGGGCATGTATGAGGTGGCCAGTCAATGTTCTCTCTCATCAATGTTTCTCTTTCTCCCTCTCCCTTCCTCTCTAAAATCAATAAAGAAAAGTTGTTTTAAAATATATAAAATGTCTGGGATTTTTTAAAAAGTGAAATAATTTAAAGCACTAATACAAGTAATACCACTGACACATAAACAATATTTTATAGTCGTTCCTTGCCACTTCACACTTCAACTTTCGTGGCTTCACTCTATCGTGGTTTTTTCAAACATATTCATTATAAAGTTGATCGAGACAGTGAAAATTATACAGCGTGTGCTCGGTTGTCTGAGTCAATTATACACCCCTGTCTTAAAATTAATATTGCTGTACATATGGGCTGTAGGCCTATGTATTTGGGCACCCCCGCAAATCCTTCAACACCAGGTGCAATCACTCGACTCCTTGCATATGGGCAATAATGTGCCTTCAGAGGAGCAGTAACCTTGCTCTTCCTTGCTGTGCAATACATCTTCATTGCTTCATTATCGAACAAGTTGTACTATATTCATAGGTTGCTGGTTGTGTGTAAGAACTGTGTGTTTGTGTAATTAAACATACAATAATAATGTTTGCAACATATAATATATGTCTTATTTTTTCTTATTTTTAATATATTGGGTAATATGAGTGTAATGGTGACTAAAGGGTGTTATTTCACGTCTAGAGGGCTCTAATGTTAAAAATCGTATTTAGAAGGTTGTAAACAGATTTCCTATGTTCTAACTGCGAAAATATTTGATTTATAAATAAAGAATCCTACTTTTCAGAAATTCAAATTTTTGCTGTAGAGTCTGGAACTGATAAATGAGAGCTGAATGTATTAAGTTTTTTTCATTTTACTGAACTTTATATTGAGAGACATAGAAAGAGATTGATTAGTTCCACCCCTTTATACATTCATTGGTTGATTCTATTTTTTTTTCTTTATTGATTTTAGAGAGAGAGGAAGGGAGAGGGAGAGAGAGCTAGAAACATCAATAAGAGAGAAAATTGATTGTCCGCCTCCTGCATTTCCCCCATTGAGGATCGGGCCCACAACCTGGGCATGTGCCCTGACCAGGAATCGAACTGGCGACCTCTTGGTACATGGGTCGATGCTCAACCACTGAGCCACACTGGCCAGGCTCATTGGTTTATTCTTTTTTTTTTTTTTTTCCTTTATTGATTTTAAAGAGAGTAACGGAGAGGGAGAGAGAGAAACATCAATGAGAGAGAATATCGATTGGCTGCCTTCTGCATGCCACCCACTGGGGATTGGGCCCACAACCTGGACATGTGCCCTAACCGGGAATCGAACCGGCGAGCTCTTGGTGCATGAGTTCATGCTCAACTGCTGAGTCACACTGGCTGGGCTCATTGGTTGATTCTTGTATGTCCCATTACTGGGGATTGAACCCATAATGGAGTATTGGGATGATACTCCAACCAACTGAACTACCAGGCCAGGGTAATAATACTTCATTGGACTTTTTTTATTTTTTTGGTATCATCAAATAGATACTGGGTACTGTTGTACTAAATCTTGGAAAACTAGGATACTCTGCATACTGTGTTGTCAGTTTATTGATTTTTTTGCTCATTCATATCTTGGAATTATTTTCTATCGATATTGATCTTAAATAATTTTTTCTCTATTTTTTTAAATCCTCACTTGAGGACATTTTTACATTAATCTTCAGATAGAACTGGAGGGAGAGAGGGACGAAGAGAGAAAGAGACAGAGAAACATCAATGTGGAAGAGACACATTAATTGGTTGCCATCCACACAACCCCAACTGGTGCTGGGAATTAACTGCAACTGAGGTACGTGCCCTTGGCTGGAATTGATCCCAGGACTCTGGTCCATGAGTGATGCTCTTACCAGGGTGACTTACCGGCCAGGGCAAATAATTTTTCTTTATTGGTGTTTTCTTAGGAATGGAGTGGGAGAGAGACAGAAACATTGATAAGAGAGAACATCCATTGACTGCCTTCTGCATGCCCCCCACTGGGGGTTAGGATCACAACCTGGGCATGTGCCCCGACTGGGTTTCAAACCAGCGACCCCTTGGTGCATGGGTCGAAGTTCAACAACTGAGCTACACAAGCTGGACTTCCTCTATCATAACTTAATTGTGCAGTATTCCATTACATGTTAGCAAGTTTTTAGCTGATGAATACCCTGTTTCTGTTTTATAAACAGCACTTCAATGAAAATTTTAGAACAATATTATCCATCTTCATGCTGAATTTCTTGGAAGAAATTTCTAGAGTTGGTGTATCAAAGAATAATAATTTGAGATGTGGTGTATGCTGTGCTGGTATCTTCCAAAAGTACATGAAACTGCTCATTTCATCAACCCTCCAAAGTTGTGGGTATACAATTTGACTTACTAAAAAGGGCCTCCGGGTGCTTTTCTTGGTCATCAGATGAATTTCTGTCTGGATAAAAGATACCATACAGCTCCTCCAAATATTTTCATATGCAATGTCCAACTTTCGAACCAAAATTTATTTGTTTCCAGTAAAAAGTAAGATTGCATGACCCAGATGATAAAGATAATGAAACTTACCACAGGTGATCCAGATATGGTAATTACCAAACGTGGAATTGTTTTTTAATTCTCACCTGAGAATATTTTTCCAATGATTTTAAAAATATTTTTTTGTCTTCTTTGATTTTAGATAGAGAGAAAGGGAGAGGGAGAGAGAGATAGAAACATCGATGAGAGAGAACATCAGTTGGCCACCTCCTGCATGCTCCCCACTAGGGATCTGGCCCAGGATTGTGTCCTGACCAGGAATCCAGATGGCGACCTCTTGGTGCTTGGGTTGATGCTCAGCCACTGAGGCACACCAGATGGGCTTCACATTTTAAATGTTGAAGAGTCTTCCAGAATGGCTATGCCAATATACACTTGACACGGAGTCCACAGTGGGGGAAAACCATATAAATGAGGTGTGTGCGAAGAGATCAAATCTTCAGGCTCACCAGAGAGTCCACACAGGAGAGAAACCATACAAGTGTGATGCATGTGGTAAGGGTTTCCGTCAGAGAGTCCACACAGGAGAGAAACCATACAAGTGTGATGCATGTGGTAAGGGTTTCCGTTGGAGCTCAGGTCTTCTAATTTATCAAATAGTCCATAGCGATACATTTTATAAAAGTGAGAAGTAAGGTAAGGATTATCCTTCATCAGAGAATCCATACCAAAATGAAATCCTGTAAAATGGTATTTTTTTTTGTTTTGAAGTCCTTAAACGGGAGGAAAATTTTTCCATTTACTCGTTTCTAAAAGCAGAAAAAGACTTTCTTTAATGAAAATGTGATGTTTCAACCCAATCTCAACATTCACAGTAGTAGACCACACAGCAGACATCTAATGAGATTTTCATAGGAGACTGTCAGAAATGTGGCATCAGTCGCTGCACATGACTTTAGCTAGTTTCATAGGGCTTATAAAAGATAAGAGTATGATCAGCAGTTTAATAAAAGTACAATGATGAGCATACATAAATCAATATCCACTAGAATGTAAGTTTAAGGGGAGGAGCTTCATTCATTGCTAAGTCTATAAAGCCATGACATTGCCTAACGAAATGTACGTGCTCGGTCCTTTTTGCTAAAGGACAAAGTGTATATTGAAATTTTTATTAAGCTTAACACTCCCACCCCACCCCAATCCCATGTATTTGGAAGACTGCAAGTAACCTTAATATGTTCACTTCTAGTAGATAACTATTATTGGGAACATGGAACATCAAGCAGTATTGCAATCTGAAATTACATGATTTTGGTTGTAACCCTGTTAGGATTGATGTCTGTCCTGTATGCCATCTTAAGCAGGGATGAGATGAATTTCTTATCATTTGATCTCTTTCTGTATACTACCAGTTTAAATTTAGCTCAGTATGTGTTTGTATCTGCATCACTGTGTATGTACATGCACTTTAAATGACAATGCAAACTGATAATGTTTCTGGGTAACTTTTCAAAAATGGAACACTGCATTTTACATCATTGAATTTTTGGTCTTGCCTGTGGGTTAAGGCAGAATTTTACTGTAATATTTGGCAAGTGTCAGAAATGGTTACTAATGAAAAATACTTTCTTAATAAATTACAATTCTTGTTTTCAGTCTCTATCTTTCCATCAAAGGTCTTTGGTCTGACTGATTTTTAAGAGTTATAGCCTTGCCCTGGCTGTTTTGGCTCGGTGGTTGGAGGGTCGGACTGCAGACCAGAGAGTCCCAGGTTTGGTTCCTGTTGAGAGTATGTGCCTTGGTTGCAGTTTGTCCCCGACCCCGTTGGGGTTGTGTGGGTGGCAATCAGTTGATGTGTCTCTCTCACATAAATGTTTCTCTCTCTCTCTCCCCCCCCCCCCTCCTGCTCTGCCTGAAGATAAATGCAAAAAATGTCCTCGGGTGAGGATAAAAAAAAAAAAAGAGTTAGAGCCTTTAGGGCATGGAGAGGAGGGTGTCAATGGGGAAAAAAAGGAGAAACATCTGTAACAAAAATATATTAATAAAAAATTAAAAAAAAAAAAAAGTTATAGCCTTTATTCGATTCAACCTCCTTAGGCAGGATCTATGATGTGTTTGGAGGACTTTAACTTTATCAAGTTTCCCATCCCCATACTTCTCCCACTCACACACAAAAAAGGAAAATATTGACATTTTAAAAACATTTTATCAATCTTACTGATTACGAGGATCTGATAGCCTTTTACTTTGTGGTCTTTCTCTTCAAGAACAA